ACACACTCTTTCTCTATCTCTCTCTATTTCTCTCTCCCACCCTCCTTCCCTCCCTCCCCCCTCTCTCTCTCTCGCTCTCTCTCTCTCTCTGTCTCTCTCTCTCTCTCTCTTTCTCTCCCTCTCTCTCTCTCTCGCTATCTCGCTGTCTCTCTCTGTTATTTTTATTTTAAATGTCCCTGACTCTCTCTTTCTTTCCCCAGGTTAGCCCCACCACCTTCACCAAACGTCCACCCCTAGCCTTCTCGGAGTTAGGGGTTAGGGTACCTCATACGCTGTGATACTGACATCCCTCTGCCCTCAGAGGACATGTAGATTGTGCAGTCGCATGGACTCCAATTTGGTTTTATTTAATTTTTTAACATTTTTTAAATGACCAAATGTATTAATTTAATGGGTTTTATCCCAGTGCATACACCACGCCCAAGCTCTTGAGCTTAATTCCATTAATCTGTACTTTGTGACAAAACCATAGGTGATTGTTGCTAGAAAACAAGCTTTGCAATAATAATATGAAAGCATTTGGTCATTTTTTTCACTCACTAGTCTTACCAGTGGCGGGGCGCCATGGGTACAATTGGTGCAAGCGCTCCACCTAACCCTGGCCTTCACCCCCCCCCCCCTCCCTTTCTAATTGTTCTAAACCAGTCAGTGCTCTAGATCTACAACTAAATCCTTGCGAACCGTCACCCGCTGGCTGCGCCAGTGAAGAGACAGATGGCGAGGATGGTTTATGCTCGTCGCACCGGTTGCGGTAGTGTCTGCTGGGAGCAAGCAAAATCTTTGCACCAAAGTTATTTTTGTCACTGTAGAGAAATCTAGGCATCGTCGTTCCCGCACAAGAAGAAAGGTGCATGAAACTGCTCTTCGCGACACAAATCTGGTGAAAGCTAAAAATTTGATCCAAGTTTCTGCGAGCCTATCTACAACACTAGTAGAGTCTACGGTAACTCAATGAAAAACGGGTTTCGAAACTCTTGTCTCCCTCTATTGTGTAGCAAGTCCTGGTGCTGCAAGAAGTTTTAAATCTTCTCAGATGGTGAGCATAGTGAGTTGTTAGTATTGTTTCACTTTATTGCAGCCTTTATGCGGTTTCATCTAGAAACAGTTGTAAATATCGATAGACCTAGATTACGGGATATCCTGCAGATTCTAATTGACTTTCTCTAGAAATCTAAATAGTAGCTACTAAGCCTATTGCCCTTTTGCTCACTTTCCAATTATGCACCACCTTGTCTGCAACCCAGGCGACGTCACTGAGTCTTACATATGTATATCTAGATGTTCTTTTTTCAAATCTCTAAAGGTAGGTAATTATCTTTTCTTTAGCTTATCCACCAAGTTTGAGTGGCTGAGAGAAAAAAGAAATACGCCTTTGAGAGTGTGAAGGGGAGGACAGTGGTTTGTAAACACAAAGGTCTCAAAGAGATCAGCTCACTGTCGCTTACATTGTTCGGTCGGTAGTGTTAACGCTGGAGAGGGGACAACGACATGACCAACCCATTTATTTCCTTGTGTCTGATAAACTGTGAGGAAACTTCAGGAATATGCTTTTGCTCTTAAGACCGGCTCCATAACTTTATTCTCGGGTCTGGCAATGAAGTGGTCAACAACATAGACTGTATTAATTCATGTTTCAATGCTTGTAAGTTTTGATTCCATTTTAAACGACCATGCTGTTATTGTTGTTTTTTTTAAATTTGATTTAAAACCCAAGTGTGTAGATAAAAAAAGGAAAGAAAATTTATGTCTCAATAATTCATTGACAATCAGATAGCGCTGATCTTGACTCTCTTCTATTCTCTTTTCATGTAGGAAGGCCCTTTACTTTCATCATTACACATAACGTTAGTAATGGCACCCCCCCCCCCCCTCCTGGATTCATGCAACCATTGTCTACAATTTAATGCATGGTTTGTACCCTGTGGCCCAGTATTTCTTGTTATAACTTATCCTTCCAGCAAGGTCCTATCGAGAATTGGTTGCTGTTGTTGTTGTTGTTGTTTTCTGTTTGTTTGTTTGTTTGTTGTTGTTTTTTTAATGATTATTTCGACGTAAAAAACAAATTAGATTATTATTTATTCTACACTTAGGGACACATGGAATTCAATGAGTCACGGTAATACCATTGTTGTCTGTCATGTTGACAACACCTTTCTCTAATTAAAACAAGAATGCCAATACTTGTTCAAATGATTCCCCTCTCAAATAAATACGCAAATGAAATGAAATATAAACACGTTCTCCCGGGCCTTATTTTTTTGGTGAAAATAAGAAAAAACCCATCAACAACAAAACACAAACAAAACAAATCAAAACAAAACTTAGAATACACATATTGGCGAGTGAATGAAAAAAACCGAATACATTTATCTACTGTTAGAACTGCAATGTACGCCGGCTCCAAAATTCGAGAACCGAATATAATTCGCTGTAGGCAAGTGAACGAGCACATGTGTTGTGTTTTGGTTTCGAACTGGACACAGGTCGTTGGTGGTACCGCTGAGTTATTTCATAATTTGTACTGAATTTGAGCTACACTTTTAATCATGGCGGAGTACGTACATCAAACTCTGGAGGAGATGATTCCAGAGCTTGAAGAAATGACACGATTGGGATTATTTACAGCCAAGGAAACAAAGTAAGTTTTTGAGTGAATTTGAAATGAAATGTGATTCCCCGACCGGTGTCAACAAATAAACACGCAGGATCACACCAGACCAGGACATCTTCTTTCCCTAATTTTTCCATAATTATAACTGATAGTGATATATTAGTTCTTTATTAAATTAAATGCTGATTAGATCCTGAGTCTAGTCTAGATCAGACTAAGTCTAAAGAGTAAGACAAAAGTAAGAGGCTTTTAACACGCTTGGCCTAGATACTACAGCTGTTTATTAGCCTACTCGACTCTAGATTTCGGCAATTGTTTACTTTCTCGCGTTTAATTCCGGTCGAGCCTTGATCTAGATCTAGACGAAACTCTATGCATCCCCGACTTGATAGGCTATTCAAAATTTTGCGCTGGAGTTAAGAATATGTCACACAGCAATTTCATCATGTTTTTTGTAGGCCTAGACTCTAGATCTAGATAGATCTATATAATCTATGCTCTATATCTAGATTAGATCTAGAATCTAGATCTAGATTCTAGTACTTAACATATTGGCTTTAGTTTTAGGTCTTCCGTACTGATCTTGATGGCCATTGATTAGGCCTATAATATTCATAGAGTTCACAGTGGTTGCTCGTTACAGAAGTCCTCCCCCAGAATTAAATGCGAGAAAGTAAACAAATACCTAGAATCTAGATCTAGATTTCTAGATCTACTGTTATTGACTGCTGAGATTGCGGAGGGCTGTTCTATTAGGCTCCAAGGCACTGTTCGGGAGAAGTGGTCCCGGCCTAACTCCATAAACGTTTAGGCCTATTATATGTATACACAAACGAAGTGATTATTCGGACTCGAGTCCGAATATGGAAAAATGTTATTCGGACTCTGATTCTTGTCCAGCATGACATCACTTCCGACTTCCTGTGACTCGTGAATCCGGCTTCCTGTCCTGCCTCACTCGTGACTCGCCTCAGGCTGGGTAGCCTAGAGACCGGGATCACTTCGGGCAAAAAGTCGTTTTGTGCAGGAGCCGAGTTTTAATCTTATGATGAATTTGAGGCCGGCCTGAAAAGTTATAGTCAAGAGGTCATCAGAAGCAATTAAAGATGGCTCGTTAGCGTGTGTCTGGGTCGGATGGGCGGCCTGCACACGTGTGGCTTTGTGTGTGTCGGGGAGGGTGGTGGGGGGGCACTATCGGTCCGGGCTTTGAATGTCGCATACGCGTCAGTCTTTTTCCCCCCGGCAACTGATCATTAAATTACAATAATAAGCTAGTCTTGACGTAGATCTACGTTATGAATTGTGGGCTGGTCTATGGAATCAAAAGTTGCCGTATGCTCAGCTCTACACAGCAACACAACTTTTTCTTGGTAAACAATCGATATGACACAGGCTTGTGTATTTGAACGAATTGGTCTTTTTTTTTTTTACACAGCTCATAATATGCAGGTGCCAGGTGGTCTGCTAATCTTCAATTTTACCTTTTTCTACAACAAAGAAAGTGGGAAACGTGGGGGGGAGGGGGGGCGTATCAATGAGGCGGCGGGCATTGGATCGGCTGATAAGGTGTGGGGGAAACTAAAAAATGGCGGAAAATTGGAAGCACTGAACGTTAGATCTATAGAACGAAGACACTTCCTTTTTTCCGGACCCGAGTCCGAATAACATTTTTTCAAATCTACATCTAGAAATTTTTTTATTTCAAATAACGACGGCCATACACAAAAACGGAAGTCAAGTAAAAAGACTGACTGAGTTGCCAGGGTGAAAAGACCACCGGTAAATTTCAGAAAAGGTCCAAACCCATTTGAGGCTATTTTCGGCACTATTCTAACAATTTTTAATGTGTTGAAAAGAATTTTGGCACTGAAAATTGTCACAAAGCATTATTTTATGCGACAAAACGTAGAACGACACTAACTATTTTTCGGTAAAGTGGCCATCTTGTGTGACGTCAAAGAGGGATATCCCTCTAATCACGTGACTACATGAACTAAACATAGCCAACTGCATGGCACCAAATTTGTGTACAGGACCTATCATGGCACGACGTTGGGTGAGATGTTTTTCCAGGAGACGTGCCGGCAATGTGATATGATGCAGTGCTCCGATGATTCTGTTGCTTATCTCTTCTGCACACTGTTTATCGGGCAGGGGGGGGGGGTGTAATCTCCGGGCGTCATTACTGCAGTTTTAGCGTGCTTAAATTGTCTTTGCGTTTACTGTGTTTCAATTTCAAGCATCAGCGTTCTTACGGTTCTGATCATCAATGATCTAAAAGATCTTCCATCACCAGAGCATGGCTGATGTTTTGCAGTTAGCCGCAAGTGTAAAATTTTACAGCTCGAAACACATGGATACGGATAATACGTCAAACCACTGACCCAACATGTCATTTCATGCGGTACCTCCAAAGATTTCCTACTGTATCGTGCACACGATCTTTGGTACCTCCACGGCCTTATAAAGTTAGTCTGTGGGTATCCCAGGAAATGATGACATCACATTACTAAAATTAGTAGCCAATCAGTTAGATGAGTCGATCTACGTTTAGTCGCATGTTTATTTTGTGAATTTAGCTCTGGGGGACCCCCATGCAACTTGACCTTTTCTTTTTTTGGCAGGGGGAGCCCCCCCTGCAACCCCTGGTTTTTTTTAACGCAACTTCAGATTTGTTTCGATTGTGTACATAATGTTTATGGAGTTAGGCCGGGACTACTTCTCCTGAAGAGAGCCGGCTCCTAAAACTGGAGTCCGAATTTAAATGGCTATTCGGCTCTATTTGGACTCAGGTCTGAAAATTTTTAAAAATTTATTCAGACTCGGCCTCTAAGTCAGTTATGTGAGTGTAAGGAGGCTATATTAATTATACAACTGTCGTCTGGGGATTTTACGTAAAACCAGAATTAGAACTAACTATATATAATTTTCTTCTAGGACTGTGTAATTGTGTCAAAAGTCAAAAGAGTGCTCTCTCATTTCCTAGGGCCAATGGCAGTGTCTACGTAGCCTACACGGTAACCGACAACTCAGCGTCCTTCCGCCACCATTTGTCTTTCCACGTGTTTAATTTTGTGGTGTGTTATAGTTTTTCTGTACAATAAATAAAAAAAAAAATTACATCATACAAAATCAACGGTCATGGCCTCTTCCCGAGAGTGCATGATCGCTACGTGAAATCTCATTGGTCAACATAATTAACTTTGCTCCTGGCAAGGTCAACTCAACTTTGTTGTTCTGTTCATACTTATACTAACGATGCAGGGAGGGCCAGTTTAAATAGATCTAGTAACTGGATATTACAGCTCTCGTCTTGATTGTTATCATTATATCGAAAAATGTTCCATAAAAATGCTGCAAATATTTAGGAACAAAGGTCGGAAGTCGGAACGGTCGTCATGCTGGACTCAATATAGAGTCCAAATATAATCATTGTCTAAATGGACTCGAGTCCGAATAGTCACCTCAAATCCTAATAAGTTACTACTCTGACCCTAAACCTAGCACTGACCAAAAACTTACTACTAATTAGGGGATGTCCATTAGCACGATCAGTTCAGTTTGGTTTGGTAGGCGGGGCTAGCCAGATTGAGGGTGTAAATTGACAATCATGGCACAAACTGATCTGACTCACTGCCTAAAAAACAAGTCATCCAAAAAATAATGGCTTTTGTTTTTTGGCCGCGAATTGGGCAATCAGTTTGTCGATCCCCGATTGGGCACAGGGTATAACCCAAGAATCTGCTTCTCCTGACGACCTCCCTCCCCCCTCAAGGATAGATGAAAATCATTATTTATGAAGGTTAGAATTTAAAAAAGGATTTTGATGGCTATTGGTTAGGCCTAACATAAATCTTTTATTTTGTGAAGTTCATAAAAGGGTCATTCCGTGAAAAAATGAGACCACAGTGACACACGTATTGGGTGGATGATTACCCACTGAGCGTTTTTTTTTTTCCTTCTATACCGGAAAGTTGTTTCTCACAACAAAAACAGGCTCTAATAACTAAGTGCTCTGACTTTTTTTTAGCTGACCATCATCCTGCTGTTGTGTCGCTACACTTTCATTTTTCAAGGAATAGTCTGAAAGGAGAATACTTTGTGAAATTATGTCTTCCGGAAAGAAAAACAATTAAAACATGTAGGTGGACTGTTGAATATAGCCGAGACTGTTGAGATTAAGTTGATGTTCATAAAAGGTTGATGTTCTGAGAGCAAACTTTTCTGAATAAAATTTTTGCCTCTTTTTAAAATGCTTTTTCCCCTCTTCCTCAGAATCATCCTGAAGAACAGGGAAAGTTTTGAATATCGCCTTCGCCAGCTGACCAAGACGAAAGCTTCATTTCTGAATTACGTTGAAGTATGGAATCTTATGTAGAGTGCGCTATTACTTTTAGTTGGTTCTGAACAATTATTTTTCTGCGCATGATCCTTAATTGGGTTTATATATAATATAAAGTATAAAGTCAAATGTTGTAAGAAAGCTAATGTTTTCTTCTACCGTCTTTCACTTTCATTATGCACTTTGAGTTAAAGATTGTAAGGGAGTCTTTTTAAAGTGATCTTTTTGAAATCAATTAAATTGTTTTCATATCTTCCATTTGATGTTGTTTGTTTTCATCTTATCACTGTTGTTCTCATAGAATTTTTGTTTATTGCCATTTCAGTACGAGAAAAAGCTGTTGGAATTATTAAAGATAAGGAGGAAGGTAAGTTGGACAAAATATTTCCCCGTCAGTTCCCGCTCCATCACCCTTTCATCTCAGTGTCCATTGTCCAATTTTGATTAGCAGTACTTTCAAATTGTCTTTCAGCAATATTTTACTATAGAAATGTAAAATTATACTTTGCAATTAGAAAACATTTTCCCTCAAGGAGAAAATTACGCCATATCTGAAATTGGATATCCGTCACCCTAAATTATATTTTAAAAAAACATAATGTAATTTCTGTAATTTGTTGAAACTGTGTGGAAGAATTAAAGCCACTTTTGTAGGGTTTGTGAGAGTCAAAAGAAGACATAAGTTTCTCATGATTAATAGTTTTCATAATAAATTCTTTGATTATGTTTCTGTTTTATGGATTGATATGAGAATTCCAAGAGCAAATTGTCTTTGATTGAGTATAATGTTTTTATCATTTTATTTTTCCAGAAAGTTGCCAGTGACTCAAGGAAAAGGGAATTAGAAAAGTCCATTGCTGATAGGATTCATCAACTTTATCGGGTTTGTATGATTTTTATGTTGTATTCCCAATCCTTGTCTGGGGAAAGCCTTCTACTCATTGTGATCAGAAATTATTCATTTTTATGTCTCTGTTAAGAGCTAAAAACAACCGGTTGTTGTTCGACGCTGATATATAACGAGATGCATTTTATTCATCCTGCATTTGGATACATTTATTGTGTGCCTTCACCAGCTTCAACAACACAAAATGTGCATATATACATGATTTATATAATGATCTCTCTCTCTGTCTCTGTCTCTGTCTCTCTCTCTCTCTCTCTCTCTCT